TAATTTTTAAAAAATAAAATAAATAGACACTTTTTCTATAAATTTTAACTTTACATAATAAGTAAAACTCTTAAATCAACCCTTAAAAAATATCGACAAAGGTAAATCTATCATTTATAAAAATAAAGGGATAAATTATTCTTTCAAATTATAAATCAAAATAAATCATTCATTTTTTAATGAAAAACCTTAAAATTTTGTTTATCACATTAGTATTTTTTAATTAAAAATGTTAAAAAATAAATAATTTATCTTAATTTATGATTTAAAAAATTATTAAATATCTCTTTATTTTTGTGAATGATGAATCTATTTTTGCTAATTTTTTTTAAGGGTTGGTTTGAGGTACTGGCTCTCTAATAACATCTTCTTTTTCTCTTTTTTTTTTTTAAGTAAAATTACATCTAACTACCCAGGCCCTTTAACACAAGTGATATTATTATAAATTGAGGCAGGCGGCTATTGTTTTCTTTATTTATTTTTTATCTGAACTTTGTTTTCTTTTCAGATTACAATAATAATGATGGTAATATAAATAAATATATCGTGATTGTTGACGTTTGCCTGGGATGTAATCTGAAATAGACCCTACCGGCTACCAAAATGAGAGACTCAGAGACCCATCAGGCCCAATCCAACTCAGCTACCTATCATCTTATTCCATAGGCCCCAAAAAGAAAGAAAAGAAAAAAAAATCGAATATGAATTACCTGCCATAATGATGAATTGATGACAAACCATGAGAAAAATGTCATCCCCTGGAGAGCCTCATAATGCTACAGATAGGTTTCCAATAAAGTTTGAGGAAGAAGAAAAGTATTATCGTCTTCACTGATTGTATTTTTTTTTTCTTCTTCTTCTTAAATATAGTTACGCCTTTTTAAAATTTTTTTTTTGAATTATACAATTAAAGTCATCTTTTAACTCACTTTACTTGTATCTTATATGATTTAAATTTAAAATATTTTACTTTTAATAAAAGAATTATTATTAAATTATGTAGTTGTTAGTTGGTTATATTTCTTTTTAGTTTTTAACAACCAATAATAGTTTGCCATTTTTGGGTTTCTTTCCGGCCCTAGCCTTTTTTGGGGGGTTTAGGCCCAATAGTATTTGAGTTGAGTTTATCAGCCAGTTTAGAGAGATTAGGCTGTTGGGTCGAGGGTGGTCCACCCCTGCTGCTTGGTCCGGTCTTCTTCACTGGGTACGGCCACTCTACTAAAACCCTGAATTTTTTCTTTTTATTTCATTATCAAACCTATCAACTTTTCTTAACAGTAATTTTACTTTTCCGAACCACTTTTCTAATAAAGCTAACTCTAACCCAAGCCTCTAAATCCCCAATTCCCTTCAAAAGTCATGAATTTTACCTGTTTAAGTGCAAAAAATATAACATTTTCTATGGCACTTGGCCCGTGTGGCCCAGTGGCTAGAGCCACTGAAAAGTGCACATCCCCCTCCCTGGGCGGGTTTCGAACCCACCCTATGACAAAACTGTTCAAAAAAATATAACATTTTCTATGAATGACAAGAAAATGACTGGCAGCAGAAAGTGGCAATTTAGTGCTTCGATTTTGTTATTGTTCCATTTATTTTATGCAATGTGGTCATGTGGTCCTCTCGACCAAAATCCCTCATTGCAGGCATAAATAAAGAACCCTACTGGGAAAACAACTGTCATTCCAGACGACAACTTGTACTACAAGCACATTACGGAAAAATGCCAAAATTCTCCATGATCATGACTTTATGCTATCACACCACAGAGTATGCATGTTAATATTAATGTGCTTGAACAATTGCAGCATCGATGGAGCCAATTAGGTTTACATGGATTGAGCCACAACAACTCTGTTTCTCCTTCTTCCCATTTTCAGCCCTGGTCTCCTGTTGCCTTCCTTTAATTTCAAAGGTTCTTCAATTGTGGTGGACAGACCTGAAAATGTCACCAGAAAAAAGAAGGCAGTTATAGAAGGTTCTATCAATTCAAGCATCACAATATAATAATCACAAGAGGAAATGCTTGTTACCAGATAATGAACAGGCAGTGCTTTTCTTCTCCGTCATCATCTTCGTGATTAACTTGTATTCTAGTTCTTCATTCCATCTCTCAGTCTCATTATCATCTTCATCTGAATCTTGGACTTCTTTGACATGATCACTGCCTGTTGCCCTTTTATGGGCACCGGCAAAAAGCCACGTCTTCTCCATCTGTTTGCTGATCATGCGTGCTGCATGGTATGGGATCTTCTCCTGCTTGTTCATCATCTCTGAGTTGATGCACCCATTGACAAACATTATACAGTCCATCAAGCTCTCTCTAGCCAACCCTTTCATGTTGTAAGCTTGTGATCTTCTCCAGAGGCTCTTACCATGACAATTTGCAGGACTGCAGAGGCAAAGAGCCCGTGTTGTGTCTCTAATGGTGGCATCAGGGTCTCCAAGCAGCAGATGACACTGAGCTCTGTTGCTGTAAAGAACCATTCTCTCTTTTCTAAGCTTTAGTGGACAGGCATCTAATGCTTCAGTATAGCTTCTAACTGCAGCTTCTATACCTCCTAACCTAAATAAACGGTTTGCTTGTTGTCTAATCAATTCTATCAAAACCCTTCTCTCTTCAACTTTTTCCTCGGACATCATCTTCTCCCTCTCTCTCTTCTCCACCTTCAACTCCCATATTTCTTGCAGTGCCCCCTGAACCTTACTGTTCTTGAATCTAAGTTTGCTGCTTGGTTTATAATCCAAAAGAAGGGCATTTGTGATTGCTTCACCCAAGTTTGACCTATCTCCAAGGCTTTTGAGTTCAACCAGATCAATGAGAAACAAGGTGGTAGCTTCAAGAACTTTGTACCTTGTATCTGGGTCTTTGAGAAGCAAGATAAGACAATCAACGCCCACATACTGCCAATCATCAGATGATCTAGATAGGTGACAGAGATTCTCCAAAATCTGTTTACACCCTGAGATGCTTTTTCTTCCAATTTTACTGTGGCACAAGATTCTGATCAGTCCAACTCCAGCTGGTGATGTGTGATTTACCAATCCACCCCACATTTTACACAATTCTTTCAGAAACTCTTGCTTACAAATAAGATTCAGAGATCTCTCTTTGCAAGCAAAGCAGTTGAGAAGATAAATAGACCAGCACTGGAGTTGGCTAGCCCATTCTTCAGCCTTCTGGTTCTCCATTTCTATTCCTCCAACTCCCCTTGTGAGCAAGTCAGAATGATATTTCAATCTCTTACGCATATCCTTGATCCCTACAAAGTTGACATACACTACATCCAGGCAAGAAGAAGCTAACAGCATAGCTAGTTTCACCACCTCATCTTCATAAGCTGCTACCGCTTTAAAGGTTCTCTCATAGCTAGCAAGGTGACCAAGAGCTCGAACTGCAACTCTTTGCTCAACCCAACTGATCTTTCCTCGTAAGAGTTCCATCAGTGGAGGTATCACACCAGATTTTACAGCTTTCTCTGCAAACTCAACCTTGTTCATAGTATAAGAGCCAATAACATGAGCAGCATAATAGGGAATATAAACATTCTGGTCTCTAAGAAGCCATTCTTGGTCATTGATACCTTTATAGATCAAACTCACCATGCAGTCAAAGATTCCAAGAGATGGTAACTCAGGATCATCTGGCTGTGTCATGGCAATATTCCATATACCACTCAGCACCAATACATGTTCTTGGTTGTCTCTGAGAGGCATTTCCTTGAAACAACTTGCCATTCCTGCCCTTCTGACAGATGAATCTGGCTCTTTCATGATACAAAAGAAACAGCCAGGATTGTCACAGTTCTGTGCCAAACCCATGTTAGCAGTATTGATGGTGGGGTTAACAGGGATAAAGTTGGGGGTAATCTTTCCCTTTTTCTTCAGAGAATCCATTGCTCTATTCTAAAGATTTAGTATCTAGGGTTTCCTGGATTTTAGCAGGTCAGGGTTCTTAATATAAAGCTTGAGGTGAGGTGATAAAGGAAGACTATCCAAGTGGTGGAGTGACACCTAGAGTGCATGAATAAGTATTTTATTATATGAAACTTTAGAAGCATTCTTCATATTTGAAATGAAATGAAGAGATGTGTGTGAGCTTTTCTTCGAAAATAGTTAAGTCTCCCACACTGCTACTATGTGTGATTAGGGTGGATGATGCTAATCCTGACACATATTGTACTTTGTTGCATTTGTTTGGGAGCTTGAGAAATGGAGGCAACTATCAAGAGGGTGTCAGAATGATCAATTCTATTATACTAGTTTATTTGCAATGTAAAGCCTATATGATACAAAGATTCAGCCTGTGGAACTCCAGCCAGCTACTAGTGAAAACAAAAGAGTTTTTTCTGCTACTTGAACTTGTCAAAGTTAAGCCTAAGCAACCACGAAGGTTTTCAACAAGTTGAGTCGTAAAATTCTCTAACGGTTGTATTGACTAGACTTGACTTCTTCCTTCAATAAAGAAGGAAAGATTACAAGGAAAAATATTTTTTCCTGTTGTTTAGCCCAAACATCAGAAGAAGAATAAGTAGCCATGGTATCTTTCTTAATGGATATCTGCTTCATAAGATGAAAGTCATTAGAGATAAATCTCCTAATCATTACTTCTATAAAAGATTATTAGCATTTCAAACCTGTTCTGGGCTGGCAGGAAAAGCCAACAAATGACTTCTGTTAACGATCTTCTTTCACTCTTTACCATGCAAGTGCGTCCCTCGTCAGAAAGTAAATGTGGTTCTCACAATATCTTTTGAATTATTGCATCACTAAGTACGTTCATGAACTGGAACAATACCTTTTCCATCATGCTTTTTCCTAAACTTTCTTTCTATTTTCTTTTTCCCTTACCCCTCTTTACATTTTTTTCTTTGTTCTAAAACCATTTTTGTCTTGTGTGACAATAAGCTGTTAACTATAACAAATTTCTAGGTAATTCCTTTGCATAATTGTCAATATGCTGCCTACAGTCTTGGATATTTGGCAAGAAGCCATCAGCTAGCTCAAATACTGAATCCTACTCTATCAAAAGCAAGTTTGAAGAGGGCAATAAAACAAGTAACTTTTCTAGAAAAAGTTAACCCTTACTTATCAAATTCAAAATAAATCTGGATCAACTTTTGACTGTCGAAATTAATGCATTAGTAAAACAATAGTTATCTCCCCACCTTTAGAAGTTAGCAGTTCTAGATTCGAGACATGGTAAAAGCACATGGTGAGGAAAAAGATAAGAGAGGATTCCTCCCAAGAAGAACAAGACCTCTGCATCATATGCAAAAGCCTCACCAAGTAATAAACCTGATGTTATTGACTAAATTGACAAACTATATGAGGATGACTTCCAACTGATGATACTTAGCCTAGAATGTCCTTTCATTCTCTCACTTTGAATGCTTAGGCAATAATTAATGTAATGCAGATAATTCTGATGGAGGCTGCAAACAACTAGATTAAGTGTGAGGGACCACAGGTCCAATAAGGGGATGGTCATGGTCTATTTAAATCAGAAGCCAAATGTGGTCCCTTCACACCCTCAGCTACTACATTCAAATAAATATAAACTCCATAACCAGAAAAATGAAAGCCCACAACAGAATTCGGAAATGGATTAAAGCAGAATCAGTACAAATGTTGAAGGTCTCAAGAATACGCCGCTACTATATTTAGCATTAACATAATACAATACTTTAAAAAAAGCAAGAAAAGAAGGACTAAAGCTCCAATCTGTCCCTAGTAAGTTGAATTAAAAATTCACCCATGTCTGAGACTTCCAAATGCCAGAAACTATTTCTGTCGCAATGGTTTGATTTCTAAGTAGTGCAGTTCCTAAGTGGACATTCCGCTAAAGGGCTGTATTGGAATGCATAAATTTGTTTTCTTTAATGCTTGTTTGTACAATCGGCGTGGAAAATGGCCGCATTAGTTTCAAAGCTCATTATATCTACACTAGATACGCAATCTAATCTCACTGAAGAAAGTGAAACCAGGAGAATGAAGTTTTACTTCTCCAACTTCTAAACAACTCAACTAATAAAATACACATTTCAAGTTACCAGAGAAGCTTCTACTAATTTACCCCAACAAAAGATTAGAAAAATTGGAGGACTATCAGCAAAATTGATAACATTTCTATAGATGTAATGAGCAACTTCCTGAAACAAACAGGATGAGCATTAGCAATCCATACCTGATATTTCCTAGTCAATTTACCAGTCTGTAGAGGCAGCTGCCAAACAAAAAAAAGCAAGAAATTTCACCAATTGCAAGCAATAATCCTAAATCCTAATATGTTGGCCTGTTTATTAGGAGCACTTGCTTTTTCAGTAAAGGAAATATTTTGTACAACCCCAAGAATACTAAGAAATATTGAATAAATTACTGAATTTACAGGCTAACAGAAGAAATACATTATATTTGATTCCAGAATTATCCCATTACCTATTTTTCCAGGGTGTAATTAGGGCACCAAAGTGAGCTGCCTTGAATTTGTTCAGAGCTCTGGGATCCTGGTGGTTCCTTTCTTTCGGCTTCGGGAGAGAAAGAAGCAAGAGTGTGAAAGCAGAATTGGTTTCCTTTCCAAGTCCAAATGATAGATCCAGGATCCAACCCATCATCGTTTCTTTCTCAAAAAGCCCTAACCATTCATCAAATTTCAAGCTCACAAGCCCATGGGTTTCATCCCGTCCATTTTTTAACCGGGTTTAGAAATTTTGTTTATGGTATAACAGTAAAGGTATTTTGCACGTTATGTTATCAATTTTTTTTTTTTTTGTAAATATTTATTTAAAAATTTATCTTTTAATTAAAATTTAAATGAACAATGGTTAGATTATAAGTTTTATTTATATAAATAATTTAAATCAATTTTCAAATTGTTCTAATAAATTTAATCACTTCATTGATTATATAAATTTAATATCATTAAATATGTATGAATAACAAGAGTTTTTTATAAAAAAAAAAATCATGAATATATTAAATTAATATGAAAATTGACATGATTTATAAAGATAAAATTTTCTTCTAACAATTAATTTTTTAAAATAATAATTAAAAAATAAATTTATAAACAAATTCTCTATAAAAATTTTTAAAAATACAACACCCCCTACACTAACCTCTAAAATAATTCACTTCACCATGTTTATTTTGCATGAACAAAAAAATGAGAAGGCAAATCATTTGGAAGAACCCAATGATCCAAGAACTATAGCCTTGATTCCACAATGGTGTTTTTTCTTTTTCTTTTCTTTTTTAAAAAAATATCGTGATAATATTAATTAGAGGGAACCTTAGATGATTGTACTCTATTTACAAATTCAGATAGCATTGATCCAATGCCCAAAACTTCCATGGGAAACTGCTAAACTTGTACATTAACCGTCTACATTGTTAGTCAAGTAAAACTAAACACCTACCCTAGCTCCCTGTTGCTTTTCCAAAGCTCAAAATATGATTTCCAGATGCCATCGGGTGTTGTTACCACCACTCTCACGAGCTTCCATCTAGTGCTGTGATTTTGGATCGGTGTAGTGCAGTGGTCATAGCAGTTTTACCCTGGGACCCTGAGAGATCTCACAGGCTTCGCTGAGAGAAGCCAGTCTTAGTTCAGCTGGAGGAATGAAACAGTCCATTGACAGGCCAGGCACATTGAATGCCACTTCCTCAATAGCCCATGCCTCTTCCATCCTGGTTCTTGTGTGGCTCATTGCTGTATCTCCAAAGCGAAAAAGAGTCACCATGGAGCGACCAGAGTGAGCAATCATAATTCCTTCTACAGGTCTGTAATCGTGAAGGAATGAATTGATCGTAGTCTCCCAGTACACAGCATCACCTCCACTGTTCTGAATCCGGGTCAAATGTGAGTCTTCCAGATGTACTAGGAGTCCAGTTTTCTGGCTGAAATAACCAAATAAAACATGCCTTATGATCTCTGCTGCTCCTTCACTCCTGGCTTTCAATGTTGCAGGATCTGCACACAGCTTGAGGATGAAGCAGTCCTCACCATTTATCGTCTTCTCCCCAATGCATCTTGCATTGGTAAACATGCTTGCTGTGGTTTTCGGATCAAGACCCTACAATATAAACAATAAAATCATAGGGTAAAATCATCATGCATTATGACCACTAAATCACGATCAAAGAGCAGTCAATATGCAAGGGCATGTGATTTTCACCTGAAGTGCACGACGTAGCGGTCTAACAGGCCCTTTTGCAGCATGTGCACCAAGCCATGGTGTATGCCTCCACACAAGTCTTCCATTGCAGCCTGCATGAACTTTGCTACCACCAAGCGCAAGCTCCACATACCACATGTCTGGATTCATCTGCCACAGAACAAACCCTCCAGAATCTGCACCCTTAGAAGAGTTCCGATTCCTGGTGACCTTATTAGCTGTCTCAAACTCAGAAGCTATCATCCTCACCCTTCCCATAGCATAAGAATTATGGATCGAGTTCTGAAGCTTTTGCCCCCCAGATGCTGCAATATACTGCTGCAAGATGTATTGGGCAGATGAAGATTCCTGCAGCAATAGAAACAGAAATTAACAACATTTCTATCAAGTTCTAAACACAGAAATAAGGCACCAAATGGGTACTAAAAAATGCTTAAATACAACCAATTGCAGACAAACCATGAATAAATTTTTTTCCCAAATAGAAAATGATTTCATTAAGTACATTGCAGCAGAAACGCACAGAAAATGGACAAGATCAAAACAACAAACTATTACAATAATCCCACCAAAGCTGCTTGCCATCTAAAGCCCAAAAATACTCATAAAACCCACCATTTCATTATAAAAATAAATAAAATAAAAAAAATAAAAAAAAATAAAAAAAAACCCCCACCATTCCATTAAAAACAAGAAACCATAAAAAGAGGAAGTTCAGGACCTTTAATTACCCTAAGTACAACATTGAATCCATTTACCCTTCCATCCTAGGTAGATCCAGACGCATTAAAGGAAAGGAAATTACGAACCGTTAAGTTGCAGCCTTTATAACATTCGCTGAATCAAATCCACCATGCCTTTTAACTTCAGTTTTTTTTTTTTTTAAAAAGAAAACCACCATGCCTTAATTGCTCACAATTTTTTATTCTCATTTTCCCTCTTGATTTATCATATCAATGAAAAGAGAAACCCTCACTAAACCTTAGCAGAAACCAAAACCAATTCCGAGCTGAATAAGTCAAAAATTGGTTTTCTTTTTTCTGGTGGCTGAAAATGAAAATACTAGATTTAACCAACCAATCGAAGAAAACGACGTGATATGAGAGAGAAGGAACCTACAATTGGAGTATCTTTGATACTGAGGTGAGGAAGAGGTTCCAACGTGCTAACGTGCACTGGCGCGAGCGGCGCACCCAATACGCCGAGCAGCAGTCTCAGATCCGAGCCTTTACAAGCGGATGTTGATACGGACGGTCCCCGCGCTAGCTGTCCCTTCATCCAATGAGTCCACCCGCCTTCCATTCGTGAATCTCCACCGTCGGCCCCGTCCGGATCGGGCCCTTCTTTCAACGGCGACAAGGCCTCCGCCGGCCTCAGACTCCCCGATCGAGAAATGAAAGGCTCCGGTGGAACCACATGGTGGTTCCTCCTCCTCCGACGGAGCAGGCCCGACATTGGGGATTCACTCCTGGCCGGACTTTTAGACCGTGACCGTGACCTCCCCGGGGACAGCCCTCTGACCACCGAAAAGAACCCTTGTTTTCTCTCCATTAATTGTTACGAGCCTGCCACTGACTGAGACCTCAGAGAAGTAATGGCAGAGTATAGCGTGCTCTGGTGTAGAGTGTGCTGGTGTTGTTGAAGTACCGGAGAGAGGGAAAGTAAAGAGAAGCAACCGAGGGAACAATGCTTGCTGCGAAAAATCAACTTGAGAGACGAAAGAGGGAAACAATGAAAGAGAAGGACAGTGAGACGACACAGGAAGAATGGCTGTTTATGGAAGGAAATTTCCGATTTAAAAAAATAAAGTTAAAAGTGCTCGGGT